ACTTCAAAGTAATAATATTAATAGTGAAGCTCCACCCATTGCTAAGCCCCACCCCCTAATTAATAAAGGATACAGTGTAGCCCATTATCCTCCAGTATGAGGGGAAATAGAACACAATGAACCCATAATGCATTAGACTCAAGAATAGGACAACACCCCAGGATAATACCTAACAACGATAAACAACAACAATAAACGACAACAATAAATTATTTAATATTAAAAATTATTATTATTAAAAATGGTTTACAAAAATGTTTAGTTGGAATCAGGTAACTTTCTACTATAAGGACATCAATATGTATCAGAAAATTTAATAAAAATTCGGGGCAATTTCGGAGCCATTTTTTGAAAAAACCATTGACTATAGTAAAGGGCATTTTTCAAAAATTGACCAACTTAAAAATGCCCATTACTCAAAAACTTTTTGTCTAAATCTGTTCAATTTTGGCAATTTTTTCACAAATAATTTGGCAATAAGTATCATTAAATAAAAAATATCTTTTCCATTAAAACGCTAATAAATATTACGCAATCATTAGTGGGTGTGGTTTCTCACTTGAAGTGGGTGCCAGGGACACTCGCACCCGTTCACACAAGGAACGGCAGTTGATATCAAGTCATGTGACCTATCACGTGATCCTCCCTGTACTGACATCATCCAATACCTATAGAATTAGAATGAGATCTGAGACTCACTATAAACCACGCCTTTATTTATCAGTTACCATGCCAACTGATTCAATACGAGTATATACGGTACTGATACACTAATACACAGACTATAAACTACCTAAAAGACAATATAAGATCAATAACTGATTGAAAAGATAATAATTACAAAGAAAAACTAGCACAAACTACCGGTATGTTACCTCAAATATCTACAATAATCAGGAGGTGTGGCTATACTGGCTAGGCTCAGGCCGGCTAATTAGGTTTGTGGGTGGAGCTTGTGGTTAATGCACAAGCTCCAAATTGCAACTGCAATTTGCAACTGCAGCATAATTGGCTTGTACCTCTGGCTTGTACTTTTGACTGTATCTTTTCATTTCTTTATCTTACAACAGTTGATCATTAACAGTGATAGAGGTAAGTATATTATAGTTCATTTTAATTATACTTTACTAATAATTACAAGATGATTGATGTCTCTCAATGGAGAGCAAGTATTGGACTGTGGAACTACTGTCAAGCTGCCTCCAGTAGACCAGCTAATGGCCGCCACTCTCACTCATTCAAAGCTGCAGTAGACAGCAAGTCAGGCAATACTGCATCAGGAGAGAAGACATCTCAACTGCCAGCAGCTCTGTCTCTTATTGCTTTACTCCTCCTCCTCTTTCACTCTCTCTCTTTATTAAGACACATCTTGATGATTCCTCCAACAGGTAAACAACAATTCCAGCTTTGTACTTGTATATTTACTCGGTATTTTATGTTGTATTGTTAATAATAAAGAACTCAACTTGATCTGAATCATA